CAACAACACTGATCCATACAATAAAAGTCAATGAGATCAAATGTTGTTTTGGACCCCACTGACTTTCACTGTATGGACAAAAACAGTCAGAATATTTTTTATGTATATATCTTTTTGTGTATGTGTGTGTTCCACAAAATAAAGTAAGTCATACAGGTTTGAAACAACATGAAGACGAGTCAGGGTGAGCTATCCATTTAATATTTGTTTGTTGTTTGTTATAGTTTAAAATGAGGAATTAATGAGGTCCTAATGCCTCGGACCACAAAAGGAAATAAAAGCATCATTGGATGAAAGCCTTGCTTTTTGAGGACAGCTTCCTGGCATTCATTAGTTGTATTGCTTTTTAAAGTGAAGTGTCGTGCAGTGCCCGTTCTGTGTCATTGTGATTGAGGTACAGTGCATTCTCTTCTCCTCCAGTATCACACATGCCAGTTTGTGGAACACCTGCATGGGTTTTCTGAGCATCGAAAATAAATGTCACATAGACTATTATGTGATGTTTTGACTGACTTCGCTAATACCAGACATGCATAGACCTCAGCAGGCAATAGAAAGTGTTTAAATATCAGCATTATAGCATTGGTTTGGATATGAGGGATACGAGTCCATGTAGCCTCCCCAACCCCCACACTTCCTGTACCCTCTCCCATGTGAGCCCTGCAGCACCTGCAAGCCCGGGCAGGAAGCCAGCACAGGTGCTAACGTAGCATCGTTCGCTCGTGGCTTGATTGGCGTGCCAGCAGCTATCAAACCCTGAGAATCTCACACTTGCACACTTCCTCCCTGTCTGAGTCTGTGACACGGTGAGCACTGCAGAGTGCGGAGATCCATCATTATATTACACAGCGAAACTCCGAGACAGGTGTTACATGTGTGTGAATGTATTCAGGCTCGGACCTAGTGAAGGATGTGGTGGCTTTGAGCTCTTCTGTCTTTTACATGTGCGTGTGTAAATATAGAAATAATCAGTTACGGTTGCAGACCTGATTCATCAATTAGCTTTTCTGTTTGCGCACTGTTGCTTTGATTTTAATCAAGGCTGCTTTGCTGAGAGTGGGCTCCGCTCTGAGTTGGTGCTGCATGAGCAAACAACCTCTGGTGCTTGTAACCCACTGTTTGATCACTTATGCTCTCAGCTGCCATTAGGTCCTCCTTCATATCGTTTAAGTTGACAGGATAATGGTCTTGAAGTAACCAATGTGGTCATTTTACTAAGCAAAGTATTTAGAACTAAAAAAAAAATTATATTATGGCAGTCCTTTATCAGTGGTAGCTAAGGCAAGGGTTAAAGATTTGAACAAAATGCTATTAATGATCTTTGATGCATAACTTGTCGTGCTCTATTTTGTGCTTCCGAATGATACCTCAATATGTGTGACTTGTTAAAGAGACATTTGCTATTAAGTGATTGGACTTCATTATGCTCCCATTATGCTAACTTGCTAAATCGGCTCTGGTATATTTATTATATTTCAGTGTTATTTTAGTATCATTTATATACTATTTTTAACTATTTTTGAACATATTTAGAATTTTCTTTTATTTTTATATTTTCAGTTGTTTTTTTAATTTGTTTAAATAAAATAAATTGTAAATAAATAGATAAACTGTTAGTTTTTGTTTAGTTTTTCGTTTTTTAAAAATATTTAAAAATAGTTTTAGTAATTGTAGTACTTCAGCTTAAACTTATTTCAGCTAGTTGGCAAGGTTACATTTCAAATTTTTGCTTAGTTGATTTTTTTAAATATATTCTTATATTTATTTATATGTCATTTTATTTAAGCTTTATTTCAATGAATATAGCTATTATTTAAAATAGTTTTTGTAGTTTTAGTTGATGGTAACAACATTGTATTTTACTGTATTTGTATTAGGCTATTATAACCCTAACCCTATTTTCAGTTTAGTTTTGAACCACAGCATTATTATTAACATAATTTTTTTGTATTATTATTTATAGTTTATTTGCCTGTAATATTTAAAATATGTACCCTTGGAATTAATACAATGAATAAGATCATTGATTTAAAATTGTCATTTCCCCACATTATTTTCATGCTAACGTAAAAATGTATAAATAAATACTCCTGTGCAGGCAGCTCTTGTAGGTGATGAGCATTGAGGGATACTTCTTTTTTCTGTACTTGTTCAAGGCAGTTGAATAACCATCAACCTTTATTTTCATCTGACAGAAGTATTTGCTTCCAGGAATATGTCTAGAGTTGTAGCAGAAAATCCCTGGAATTTTTTTGTTCGCGGATGGGTCTGATGAAGTGCACACTATTGCTGTTAAAGCTTTCTTGTCACTAGTCTTTGTCTGACTGTTCATTTTTCTGGTCTTCAGCGTCATCTTCTTTCATTCCCCCCACCCCCATCCTCTTCTGGCGTTCCTGGAAAGCCTCTTTCTTGCTGATACCATCACTTATTCATCCAGCTTCACTCTATTTTATTTTATTTTTTTCATCAGGCAACTCTAGTCCTGTGGCCGTATTTCCAGAATTGTGTACTTTGTCCAGCAGGCCTATCTGCACGATCATCTTCCCCTCAGGCCACAGCAACTGAGCTGACAAGCAGAGCCCTCCCCCATAGCACATGAGCTCATGATCACTGTTGCCAACTCTCACAAGATAAATAAGCAACCGCAGCTTAAAAAACAAGCCCAAAACAAGCCCAATATTTTTTTTGATGATTTATTATCATCAATATTCTTTATTATCAGTTATTTATTACCAATAAATGAACCTGCAACATATTAAACTGAATCCACTCTTTTGTCTGAAAAGCAAAAACAGATATGTTATTTTACAAAAATCAGCAAACTGCAACAAAGTGAGAACAAAAAACTCATCTCCAATCACCTGTGAGCAGAATAGGATTGGAGAGATGGAAAAAAAGAAAAACACAAGAGCTGTAACATAGCCACATGTTTATAGCCTACTAAAATATAGGCTATTCGAAACAAATGTATAGTTTTAGTATTAGTATAGGACTACTTGTTTTTTATTACAACTCATGATAATTAATACATTACAAAAATATTGTAAAAATAAAAAATTAGGCTAAAAGAAAGTCATCCCACTCCTCTACGTCTACTTCTATCATTGCTTGGATTACAGCGTCACGCGCCTTCTTTTTGAATGTGATTTTCTCCAATGAGGGTGCGGAACATTTGGCAAATTACGCTGCAGCACTTATTGCACTGGTTGGCTATTAACTGTGAGCAGACAGAGTGTCAACCAATGCATTGGAGAATATGGCGAACATAAATAAAGAAACGAAGTTGCTTGTCAGATTTCCCTAACAAGCAACCTTTTTTTTAAATAAGCCCAAAAAACCGTGACCCGGGATTTTTTCACGCAACTTTACAAAAAAAGAAGCCCAAAGTCGCATATAATATGCGGACTTGGCAACTATGCTCATGATGTGAAACAGGGGCCTGTTAATACCTGAGCAGCTCTCGTTTTCTAGGGATGGCTATTTTTACTGCACCGGAGAGAAAATCACCTCTCAAGCACCAATTTGAAATCCTCAGTCTGTGAACTCAATGAGCCAAGCTGTAAGGTTTCCACTTTAACACTCTAAGGTATTATGTTCTAATGATGGATAATGTTCCTTTCTAGATGCCTGATAAACAATACTTGATGAAGGTCACTTGACTGATACAGTATGTTTTAAAATCCATATTCAAATTTAATTTGCAGGCTTTCGGTGTGCATGATTCATCTATTTTTGTGAGATATTTTGACAAAATAGAATATTAAAGACATAAAAATATAAATACATTTTATTATTAAGATTCGACTCTAATTTAATTTTTTATTCAGTTTCCTTCTTTAGTTGATACATACACTGCTGTCCAAAAGTTTGAGGTCAACGAGTTGTTTTAATGTTTGTGATAGATGTCTTCTGCTCACCAAGGCTGCATGTTTTTGATCACAAAAACAGTAATATTGTGAAAAAATTACGATTTAAAATGACTGTTTTCTATTTGCATATATTTTAAAATGCAATTCATTCCTATGAGGCAAAGCTGAGTTTCCAGCATCATTACTCCAGTCTTCAGTGTCACATGATCCTTCAGAAATCATTCTAATATGGCGATTTGGTGCTCAAGAAACATTTCTTATTATTATCAATGTTGAAAACTGTTTTTGTGGAAACCTTGATACATTTTTGCAGGATTATTTGATGAATCGAAAGTTCAAAAGAACAGCATTTATGTGAAATACTTGTTTTTTGTAACAATGTAAAAGTTTCACTTTTGATTTGTTTGTCATCCTTGCTCAATAAAAGTTCTAGTTAAAAAATAAATAAAAATAAAATACTGACCCAAAACTTTTGAACAATAGTGTATATACATTTGGAATCCTTGTGCACTCAACTTGCACCATTTATCCTTCACAATTATTCTTAAAAGCAGAGCTTACTGTTAGGGAGCTCCTTTACTCACACGTTTCATAGAATTTGTGTGTGTGTGCGTGCTTTTCTTGGAAACACATTTAAAAATCGATTTGTGAACAAAAAAAAACATTGATTTAGCCCATCAAATAAGCAGAAAAAAATCCAGATGTAGAAAAAAACGACCTAAATTTAAGGAGCACCCCAGCATGTGTGTTTCCTGTGAGGGGGAACATAAAAAGTGCTTTTAATTCCAACATTGCGCTTTCGTTGTAGTTTTTCTGATTTAAATTTTTAGGAAAATAAATAAAATAAAAATAAATATGTCACCATACCATAGAGGGTTAAATATTGATCATTGTTATCTAGGATGGCTGTGCCACATTATCTGGGTCATGTCTGAGCAACTTTATTGCTGTCCTGTATGGTCCCGGGGTTGTGTTTCATCTCAGCCCTGATCACTTGATTTAGGATGTGGCTCCTTCAGCCATCCGACAACACTGTCTGCAACTCATTAGCCAGAGACTTAAAACACTTTTATATGTTAAGCAAAGAGAGGCAGTTAACCTGTGTTTCCTGTTTTCTGTGTCCCTATTCAGGATGCATCCATAGCACATCGCTTCCACTTGATGAGGGAGAAACATCCAGAGAAGTTTAACAGCAGGTAAGAAAACATGCATGTTTGTAAATGAGCATATGGAGAGAAGACAAATGGTGCAGATGAATGACACAAATGAGAAGAAAGGACATTACGCCGTGACATCTGAGAAGTCACAAACCTTTACCAAAACCTAGTTTCTGTTCAAACCAGTCATGGTAACCGATGAGCGAAACTACATTGTTTTCTATTTCTGCTGAGTCATGCCGCATGGCCCCGCCCACAGCAAAAAACTAATTTAACCAACATTTTGGACTTTTCAAGTGAGGTTTCACTTTACTGCGTCAGAAGCAGATTGCCACTCTTTTCATATTTGAACATCTTTGACTTTGTCTACTCTAAACACACTTTTTACACTTGGCATGAATATAAACTCAAGCCTTTTCTCTATCAATTTGGTGTCCAGAGATCAAAATAATTTCAAATGGAAGTTTTATAATCTGACCTTCAAAAAAGAGACTTCTTTTTAAGCACAAAAAAACAAACCCTGATGAATCACTGTTCTATGTTATTCGTCTCTTCAAGCTGCCTGTGTCTGTGTCAGTTCTAGCACATTGGCGACTGGCTGACGGTTTCAATTTCTTTGCTAGCTTGAGTAGAGTCAGTTTGAATGGAGTTTCTTAATGAAATGATATGCAATGCGTCTCTGCTTCAGTGGTGGAAAATAAACCGGTCAGTCATGTATCCTTTAGAGAAGGCCATTTAGAGTGGTAAAGTAGAAATGATACCATCTAATTTGGACCCTCTACTATTATCTCCAATCAATTGGATCATTTGAAGTAGGAGGAGAGAGAAATGCTTGAGTTGAGCAGGTAGAATGAATCAGGATGACGTTAGCAAGGCAATTCATCATGAGAAAGGATAGCAGTGAAATCATCATTGCTCAAAGATAATTGTAGTTCACAATAAGCCTCCATCAGTCTTCCAGCAATAAAAGGGTAACTGCTAAAACTGACCCTAGAACAGCACTTTGGTTCGACTCTAACAACTCCATAAAATATGATGTTTTATCTTAAGGAACAGTCCCTCGGAGCCCCTGGTGCACTTTACAGTAGCCGTTCTGAGCTCCCTTTGATGTGGATCTCTTTCAAGTCCGTTGTACTGTTGTCTGTTCTCTCTTGGTTGATGCCTCTATTGAGAAACACTGTTAAAAGCCTGTGTAGCCCTTGGCCGCAAAGATTGGGGCTTTTTGTTAAGCATCATTGGTCCTGCTCAGTAAGACTCCAGGCATTTTAGGTTGCTATTCAACTCAATAAGGCAGCAGAAATATTGAGATTTATTTATTGGTTGCATAATCTGATGTGATTGGACAAGCAGTGTTCCACTGATAACTTAATACATAATTAATACAAATACATAATACATACATTTGAACTTTAGATTCATTTAAGAATGCTGAAAAAGACATATCACATTGGCAGTAATAAGAAATGTCTCTTGAGCAGCAAATCAGCATATTAGAATGAGTTTTTAAAATAATGATTAGATACTGAAGACTGGAGTAATGATGCTGAAAATTCAGCTTTACCATCACAGGAATAAATTGCTTTTGAAAATATATTTAAATAGAATTAAATAAAAAAAAATATTTTAATTTGTTATCATACTGTTACTGTATTTGTAATCAAAGTATGTATGTACCTTTTTAAAGTTATCTATATACGTTAATATGTTATCAGCCATAACATGAAAATAATATCATAAATATCTTTCTTAAAAATATCAGCCAGAACTTTAATATTAGTGCATCCCTGCTGTTTGCTGAAAGCTTTGCAGGCAAACTTTCAGTTGAAACAAACCGTAAAGAGTCCCTGTGCTCACTCTTGGAGTGCCAATTAGATTAAAAGACCAGAACTAACTGTTGTATAATGCCGTTAGTATAATACATAAAGTGATTATTAGCTCTTTAAATTCATGTTAGGCATTTTCTAGTGTCTTTTCATTAACAGAATCTGTAAAACTGTTCCACGAGAATTGTTTGAGTGGCAGTGACATGTACTGAGCTCATATTTATGATGCGACAGAGAATGTGTCCTGTATACAGAGCTCTGCTGTAAAAATGCTGGATGCTGGGATTATGTAAAGATGGATGACGCCCACCGTCACACAGTTTTCTATATTGGAGTGAGAACCTGTCATGGCAGCACAGCTTTTTTAATGACTTTTGAAAATAAGTCCCTAATGACTCATACACAATCTGAATTATGGATCCTGCCTGGCTGAATTAACTAGTTAATGTTTCAGTCGTTCATAATTCATGCACCTAGATTTCCACAGCACATTCAAAGTGTTGCAATGTGATGCCAAACATCCTGTGGTTTCTCCACAATGAGGGGTTTCTAGACTTCTTTGTTGCAAGTTTCTGTCAAATGTGGCTCATTTGCAATTTATCTTTAAATGACTGATGGACAGAGAGACCAAAATAAGAATAAATGGAATTATATCCTCAACCCATTTAAATCATTCAGTGTTTAATCCCAGAGTGAGTCACCCAATATAAAACACAGCCAAACCAAATGCTTTATCTGCTTTGCTTTGTCCTGCAAATTTAGAATAGCCAGCCAGTGCATCTGTCAGTCTATGGCTTTCTAATGAGGGCTGTTCTCAGTGTTTTTAGGATTTGAGAATGCACTCTCAGAGGCAGCGTGCCACCAGATGGTACATAAATGATGGTTGCCATGGTGTTGCATGATTTATCCTCATTGAACCTGTTTATGTGACATGTTTCAGTCCACCTGTTACACTTCACCCCCATAAAAACAGTGCTTTTAGTTTTAGCAGGCACTCAGAACAGCATAATGATGCACTTGGTTAAAAATTCAGTTTAAAATCAAATGCAAATTCCATTCAAGTGTGTTTATATGTGTGTGCATGTGTTAACATCCACACGCATTCCCACAGTGACATATGATACGCGGGTAGGGGATATGTGTGACTTCTTTTGCTTCGGTGCTCAGTGATCTGCATCAGCAGTCGGTCTACAGGGAACCCGCAGCCCAGGTGCTAATGACCACGAATGCTCAATGGACCTGCGCCTCTGTGTCCGCTCCTCCCAACGGGGCAGCCAGAGGAAGTTTTGGATTAAGAGGTGTCAAATTGCCCCATAGAAAAGAAAAAAGACCTCCAAGATACCTTTGTCTTTTCGATTAAAATAACAATGATGTCTCTGTGGACTGTCAGTTGCTCAAGCATACAATGGCAAGAAGATGAGAGGCAGGGCTGAACACAGAGTGGAGGCACATGAGGGGTCTTGTTTCTCCTAATATCATGGTGGATTTCATTCCCACACTTTATTCCTTTGCTTTCATTTTTTTTTTTCTGTTGAAGACCAATTTCAAAGTATTTTATTGGCTTAATTTTGTAAATGCAAACAGAAAAAGAAAGGTTCTGGTGCTAAAAATAAAAATATATATATACAATAAAAGAAAATAAACATTCAACATTGATGACATTAATGAACATTAAGAATCTGGTAATTTGGTACTCGCCACCACTATCAGTAGAAAAATACAGATAAAAATAAATGATCTGTAATCTTTTTTTAAGGTGATCTAATGGAGTTTTATTATGTGTTTAAAGTAGTAACAATAACTGTTGTTTCATTTTTTTTCACAAATAATATTCCTAAATAATAATATTGTATATTCCACATTTATATGGCATTGGTGCTCACCATTAAATCTACTACTCTCTCTTGTTGTTATGGTAAAATTTGTGAAACACCTCAGCTGAATTATTCATAATAACAAAGATTTGGATTGGTCTGAATGAATGCTTCACAATTACATTATGATAACTCTTTGTATGCTGCAGTCAGTAAGGGGTGGGGAGTGCATTAAAACGTGTTTATTTCTGCCTCAAATAGCCATTGATCGATCATCAGCATGTAACTCCGCATGCAAATGGCTGACAGGCAAGTCAGTTAGACTACTGTATTTTCACATTGATCTGTGAAAAGCATTGGGCTAGTTGAGGTCGGCTAGATGTCCCTTTTTACTCTGCAGTATGTCATTTGCACCATAAAAATCAAATATGACATTAAACATGCCATTACCGGCTGCGCTTTGTGCTTTGTCTGCTATGGCTGTTCATTTGTCCTGCGGTAAAACGTTGTTATCTTTTATCTTCTTTTTTTGTTTTCACTTTTACAGCCGTGTTCTTTGCAGACACTTTACAAGTTCATACGACATAGTAAATCTGTTGTTTTTTGCTAAAAGACTCTTTTTATTAATGATTATACTCTGTCAGTTTTCAAATATATCATGTCTTAATAACAGAATTTGATAGTTTAATGTCATTGGTTTAAAGTTGGATGTAAATCTTGCATCATGCTATACTGTAGACAGATAGAAATTAAGATATTATTGATTGAATAGAAAGAAGACTTCTTTCGTGAATTTATCCCCACCAGCCTCCAATCAACTTTTTCTTCCCGGTTAAATTTGTTGATTTACGTAATAAATGTCACGAGATGAAAATGTACGGTTACGACACCACCTCCGATCACGTGACCGACAGAGGAAAAGGCCAAATATGGTCCTGACCCAAGCTGCCGTCTGTCTGCCCAGCATGTGAGCATGTGTTTCATAACCCCTAAGAAGATGTCTAGCTTATGTGTATGTGAGTAAGGATGTTTTTGTGCTCTGTGTGTGTGCGTTGGCCAATTCATTTTGTATTTTAGTGCAAGGACCGTATGTGTGCGTGGGTGTGCTTTTGCGTAAATCCCTCCGTGTGCACATATGTGTGTGTGCCGGGACTCAGCAGAAACCCAGTGTGCCTGTGTTCTGGAACCTGTTGTTCCCTGCTCCTCCTTGCCCATGGTGGGGAGCAATAAATATATGCTTCCCTTCCTCACTGTCTCTGGCTGCTGCCAATAGAGCAGCCCAACAGAACATACCCCCTGCCCTGACCCTCCTTCCTACACACACACACACACACACCCTTGCTGTGGAGCGGGTCGCAGGCAGACTGTGGAGGAGGACCCATAGAGTCACAGAGTTAGCTGAAGATTAACTGCTATAAAAATGTTACTTTGACCCCACAATTATAATAATAATAATTAATATTATTATCCATTTTATTTCATTTTATTTGAACAAATTGACTAATAAGAAAGAATATGGCTGCAGCTCAAAAATGTATTATTATATTGTTGTTGTTGTTGTTGTTATCCATTTTATATCATAAAACGTTTTCAAATTTGTTCTCAAAGTTCTCAAACTTTTCAGTGATTAGTCAGATTAACAAATTGACTAATAAGAAAGAATGCAATTCAAAAAATATTATTATTATTATTTTTATTGGTAGTAGTTTTTTTTTAATAAACATTTTTACTACATTGTAAAGTGCTTTTAGTGAAGTGATTAGTCAGATCAACAAATTGTCTAAGAAATTGACTAAGAAAGAATATGGCTACAATAATAATTATTATTATTTGTAGTAGTAATAATAATAATAATGATAATTATTATCCATTTTATTTTATCAGATGTGATCAACAAATGGACTAATGAAAAAGAACATGCCTGAATTTTTTTTGGGTTACAACTAACAGTTGGGTTAGTCCATATTTGACCCAACATTGGGTTGAAACAACCCAGCATTTTTTAGAGTGCACTGTAGTATCTTTATTGGATGGTGTCAAATTAATATAAAATTATTGTTATTAATATTATTACTAAAACATTTTACAACATTTCTTACAAAGGGCTTTTCAGAAATGAATATTCGGATCAAGAAATAGAATTTGTTCAAATAAAAATAAAATAACTTAAATGTTATTATAGTAGTTGTATTATTAACACCCTGATATACTGAACAACCCCATGATCTAATTATATGATATCAGATATATAATAAATGTATATATTAAATTTATTTTATATATTAAATATTGAATAATTTATATTAAATATTACATATTTATTCAATGTTAATACATATACAGTGGGGAAAAAAAGTATTTAGTCAGCCACCAATTGTGCAAGTTCTCCCTACATATGAAATGTAATACATATATTACTTACAAATAATATTTGCTTTAAATAATTATGTTCAAATGCTATTTAATGCTAATAGTTTTAACTCTCAGTGTTTTGTGGTATTAAATATTGTTCTGACTGAAGGAGGAAAATCAACATTGCTTCCCCAACACAGTTTTTTAGTATTTAAAACCTGGATTTTTTTTCATATTGCATTTGAATAGTTTGACTTAAATGAAGTGTCAGAGCACACTGATTAAAAGATGGTCTAGAAACAGTTTCCACTCTGAAACGGCTGGTAAATGTCACAAACGATTACAAGGAAACAGCAAGTAACACATCAAATTAAACGTACAATTTTTAAGTAGAAAAACTGAAATGTATTTTCTTGTAAAATCTACTTCAAAATCTTTATTTACAACCTCAAAAAATTTTTTACAGTGCATTTAACTAATTTTATGTGTCAGATATTTAAAAAAATCGTAAATTGCATAGACTCGTTAGCAAGTTGCCATCAATAGTTTATGTCAGCCTTCACTTGTATCCTGTCCCTCAGCGGATTACATATTTGATATGGTTGATACTGATGATTGCTCTTTGTCCATCCCTTGTGGGCCTGGAGAAGCCCCCATTGTGTGTTGTCTATTAACCAAACAATAGTGTTGTCATTATAAGCAGAACACCCCTTTGCAAGGCCTTGTCACTGGTTGTCACCATTTGATGAGTGTAAATTGTCCTGTTTCATAACCAAAGTGAAAATGCAACACATTTAGAGTAGAGAGAGGGACTCAATTGATAGGGTCCTGGTGTTATAAAGTCATCTGTTTAGTTTTTTCTTTTTAAGCTCTGAGCTGAAGCAGAAGGTCAAGTCAAGTCAAGTCACCTTTATTTATATAGTGCTTTTAACAATACAGATTGTGACAAAGCAACTGAACAGCATTAATTAGGAAAATAGTGTCAATAATGCAAAATGACAATAGTAAACACAAATTTTTCAGTTAAAGACAGTTCATCATTGAATTCAGTGATGTCAACATCCAGCTCAGTTCAGTTTAAATAATATCTTTGCAATTATGTCAACGATAACGGGTGTTATAAAGTCATCTGTTTAGTTTTTTTCTTTTTAAGCTCTGAGCTGAAGCAGAAGGTCAAGTCAAGTCAAGTCACCTTTATTTATATAGCGCTTTTAGCAAGTAATAACATTTTGTAACTGATACAGAAGGTCTTCATTATAGATTAGTCCTACCCTTGTGTGATATATTGGCAGCGTCTGTCCTCCGCTGGCTCCTCTCAGTGTCCCAGGCCGTGTTAATGTCTGATTGCGCTTAGGTTGTCGATGGTGGCTCTAGTTTCTCCATGGAAGCTGTGGCCAAGTTCACTGTCACTCATGTCCTCTCACACCTGTCTGCCTCGGCTTTCCTTGTAGGGTATAAATTTTTCAGAAGGCCAGAGGGTGACAAAATGAACTGGCCCAAAGGCTTTCTTCCTGGCCCTAACTATAACCAGCCATTTCCTCAAGAATAAGCAAAGATTGTAATGGATAAGAAGAGACAGACTGACTCATGTTAAAGCACACCATTTTGTTTCATTCAAATTAATGTGACTGAGTCAGACCTGTTTAAGGAACAATGCACTACTGGTCAAGAGTTTTGGGTCGGAAAGACACTTTTGATCACTTTAACATGTCCTTGCTGAATATTTTTTTATTTATTAAAAAAAAATCTTACTAACCCCAAAGCTTTGATTGGTGCAGTGTAAATTGATTGTAGATTTACCATCAAAGAGTTCTGTATGCTTTCCTTGGCAAACTAAATTGTAAATTTGATGCCGTAAATCAGGATTCAGCTACTAAACTAAAAAAAAAAAAAAAATGTTATGTGTTGTTGCAAATGAGGTACTTTTGGGAGATTTTTGTTCAGAGTTAGATCTGAAAGCAGTTGTCTGTTTAATCCGTTGACAGCCCAAGGCTCTGTTCATCCCATAATATTTATTTTCACGCCAGCATTAACATTGGGGTGTGTAAACGCAAACCTGTTTGTTGTTCCAGTGAAAGAGCAGCTGCACACAGCGTCATCTTTCTTTCTTTTTTCTCTCATTATGGCTGAGCTTGAGATGTTGCATTTTAAATCCTGTTGAACATTATTTCTTATTTTTACAGTTGCTCCTCTGAGGTCATCTTAAAACATTCAGAAGCATAGGTGTTATTTATGACAGGAACCTCACCAATGTTTTGCCATGTTAGCATTTCATGTTTGTCTTAAAATAAGCAAAAACTGTACAACTGGTTTATAAATTAATACAGGTTAATACATCACATAGATTACTGATTTACCGGAACCGCGAAAGATCAAGTTGACTTATTTATGCATAACCTCATTGTTTTTCATGAGCTTTCTTCATAACATCACAACCAAAAATGTATCGTATAAAATTGTTAGTTTAACTGCTAATCACTTTTGTTCTCTCTCCTCAGGATGAAAAACAAGTTGTGGTACTTTGAATTTGGCACCACAGAGACCATCTCAGCCACGTGTAAAAAGCTGAACGAATCTATTGAGGTGGAGGTGAGTTCAGGACAGAGCCACGTTTTACTTGACAGCAAATGTTGTAATTATATACAGCCACATTCACGGTCTTTTAACTGTGTGTCAGTTAAGTCAGTATGTCCACTGAATACTTCCTTCAACAAAGCTGGCTTCAGTATCTACAGTAAACCTCAGGCTGCTCTTACGCAGTCAGTGTTGAGGGAACATGTCAGAACGTCTATTTGAAAGCAAACTCTGTTGACAGCGTTCCCAGCATGTCAAAGTTTCACACTGGCCAGTTTGTGCCTGTGGTTAGATGTACATAATGAATGCAATGAGTTTCAATGATAATGAGGAGGATTTCTGTTTTAACTGCTACAATACTGTTTACTAAAGTGCTTGATATTTAATCTAGGCAGAGACATTATAAGGGGGCAAAGACAAACCACGCGTGAAAACGCCTTTCAGTTAAAAGAAGCAGTCGTCTTTTTGAACAATTTTTTAGCTTGATTTGAGCCAAAATTTATGAGCTTCTATTTTATTAGTACTGATTTTATAATTATTATTAAAGCATCAACAATATTTAATTTTTCCGCACTCAAGTAGATAAAAGCTGTACTTTAATGCCTATAACTTGCATAAAAAAAGTTCATGAATAAATTGGTCGCATTAACAAAATTGCCGCTTAGTAAACTAACTTTGATCCAGACCGAAGAGGCTGATGTTTCACAACGGTTATGAAGTTAGAAGAGCTATGAAAACAACATCAGCTGAGAAATTTGCTTTAGGAAAAGAAGTTTCTTTCTCCCACTCTTGTGTGGGATCTCACTCGGATCAAGGCATCTCATTATATCATAAACATGTCAGCATTTGTCTTTTGAAGTTTGTGTACTTTTCCACTGTACTACTGACGCCCTTGGTTTGATTCAGGGTGGTCTCTGACATCATACAATACTGTACAGCATTTCTATTTTTGGATCGCCTGCAGGCATTTTTAGACTAGTTTCACATCTCTCGTGTCTGGAATGCGATTGCTATTGATGTGCCACTCCTAATAGTTAAGCACATGAATGCCGTTTATAATGCTTCAAGTGCTTTATCATTCTAATTTATACAGTATACATTACCATTCAATATTTTGGGGTCAGTTAATTTTTTTGTAAAGATATTAATACTTTTACAGGTGCATCTCAATAAATTAGAATGTTGTGGAAAAGTTCATTTATTTCAGTAATTCAACTCAAATTGTGAAACTTGTGTATTAAATAAATTCAATGCACACTGACTGAAGTAGTTTAAGTCTTTGGTTCTTTTAATTGTGATGATTTTGCCTCACATTTATCAAAAACAAGGATGCATTAAATTGGTCAAAAGTGACAACAATGACATTTATAATGTTAAAATAGAATAAAATATGGTGAACATGAAAGAAAAAAAAGTGTGTGTATAAATATAAATGTATATACTGTATAAGAAATGTTCCACATTTTTTGATTTTCTGTTTCTGTCCCAGTGTGATGGCATCATTTTGGATCTCAGCAGCACGTCTCTGGAGGGTATCGCTGTGCTCAATATTCCCAGCATGCATGGGGGCTCCAACCTGTGGGGCGAGTCCAAGAAAAGACTGAATTACAATCGCATGAGTAAGAAAGTGCCAGAGAGAATGTCTGGCAGCACTGTCACCGATGCCAAGGAGCTCAAGTTTTGTGTGCAAGGTGAGTCAGACTTTAGAACATAAACGACTGAAAAAGATCTGGGTTGCTCCTGAAATGTTCTTACAACCTACAAGTTTCTAAGTATAGCAGAGAAATGATCGCAGCATCCTTTTACAGTCAGAAAGAATCAGAATCAGAAAGAGCTTTATTGCCAGGTATGTTTGCACATACAAGGAATTTGTTCTGGTGAAAGAAGCTCCAGTAAACAGAGACATCAACAACAGATAATAAGAAATAAAGATATGTGAATAAAATACACATGTGTGTGTATATATATATATATATATATATATATATATATATATATATACACACACTACCACACAAAAGTTTTAAAAAGCTTTTGTAACATTATACACTATACCATTCAAAAGCTTGGAGTCAGTATAATTTTATACATTTTTATTTTTTAAAGAAATTATAGAAATTTATATTTAGCAAGGATGCTTTAAATTGATCAAACGTGATGATAAAGACATTTATAATGTTACAAAAGATTTCTATTTCAGATAAATGCTGTTCTTCTGAACTTTCTATTCATCTAAGAAACCTGAAAAAACATTCTGCTGTTTTCAACATAATAATAATAAATGTTTTTTGAGCAGCAAATCAGAATATTAGAATGATTTCTGAAGGATCATGTGACTGAAGACTGGAGTAATGATACTGAAAAATAAAAAAAATATTTATAAAATAATTTTACAATATTACTACTTTTGCTGTAATTTGGATCAAATAAATGCAGGCTTGGTGAGCAGAAGATAATTCTTTAAAAAAACATAAAAAATGTTACAGTTCAAAAATGTGACTGGTAGTGTATGCAAACACACACACACACATATATACAGTATATACTGTATATATATATAAACAGAAATAGAAAAAAATCAGTTTTTGCTTCTGGCCATTTCATTGTAGTACATTTAAGTGCTGATGATAAAATTGACTGAAATCTTTTCTGAAAATTTCCTGCTACTTCTAATAAATTTCAAATTACTGCCCATCTTCGGTAAATCAGCACACCATGTGGAGCTGTTTCATATGCAGCTCTGACTCACAGCTGCTGTGGAGGAGCCGAAAGCTTTTAACCATCGCTAATGAACGGGAGCCTCTCTGGCTGCTCATTACACTGATGTTCAGTCTCACTGTGTTTTGGGACTTCCTGCGTTCGTTTCCCAGAGTGTGAAGCGCAATTAGCAGTGTTAATCGTCATTTAGGGATAGCGCTATCTGTGTCAGCGCCTCACTGAGAGTAGAGTACCAGTTTTCCAGATCCCACACTAGAGGTTGGTGTCACCATCCTACTAAATGTCCTTCAGGGAGGGTAAGTCAGCACAAACACCCTTGTGATGCCAGCCTCTAGGGCCCTGGCGTCACCATCGGCTGTCTCAGTCACACATCAGAGCTCGGATGTGACTGTACCTCCCAAGGTAGCTGTTTCAGGTGGCAGTGAATCAGCCTGCAGCTCCAGGCCTGTGTTTTGTCCAAAGGAAATGAAAATTGTGTCATCATTTTCTTATAATATGTAATCACACGTATTTCTTAATCTTTACATCCCAGGTGAAGGTAGTTGGTTATTTACAAGAGTGGCTGTATGTCTCTGGTTCTAAACTGCACTCTGGTTTTTAATCAGCATGCAAAAAATGTTTTTTAATTAAAATGTTTTACTAAGAAAATCTTTTATATATATATATATATATATATATATATATATATATATATATATATATATATATATATATATATATATATATGTATATATATTGTATGTCCTTGGATTGAGCCGTGTTGAGGACACTGGTTCTGTAAAGGCTGAAAACCTCTTAGATAAAATGCAGTTTCATAGTGTAGTGTAGTGATATTAAAAAAATTCCAAACATGCACTACCATTTAGAAGTTTGGAGTCTGTAATAATAATAATTATTATTATTGTTTTTAAAGAAGTCTTATGCTCGCCAAGAGTGCATTTATTTGATCAAATATAAAGTTAAAACAGTAATATTGTGAAATAATATTAAAATTTATATTTTAATATACTTTAAAATGTAATTTATTGGTGTGATGGCAAAACTGAATTTTCAGCATCATTACTCCAGTCTTCAGTGTCACATGATCCTTCAGAAGTCATTCTAATATCTTGATTTGGTTCTCATTTCTTATTATTATCAATGTTGAAATCAAGTTGTGTTGCGGATTTTGTGGATAAATTTTTTAGGATTCTTTGATGAACATAAATCTTTTGTAAGATTATACATTTCTTTACTGTCACTTTTGATTAATGTTTTCTCTATGAGTAAAAGTATTAATTTTTTAAAAATCCAATACTGACCCCAAACTTGCAGTTTTTTTGTTTTGTTCTTTAGTTTTTTTGTAGTGGCTGTATATATGTATTTGACTTTATTCCTCATAATTGCAACTTCAGAATTCCTCTTAGTTCTCAATGTGACTCTTATCTCCCAATTGTGACTTTATAATCTCACAGTGTGTCATCTTTCCTTTTTTAAACTTTAAATTTTAAACTCTCACAATTACCTTTTTATTTTTACTGAGGTGGCAACAGACTTCCATATGTAGGTGAAAACAGTGCTTTTTGTTTTTGTCTTTTAGCTGACGTCGGTAAATGACGGCTGTGACCTTCGAGAGCAGCATCTTGAATTCGAAATACCCTCTGATGTATTTAGGCACCTGTGTTTTTTGATGACCTGTGTGCTCATCACCTGTTCCTACTCTCTCTCTCTTTGATCCGTTTCAGTTCTCTTCACATTTACAACTCTCTCGTCCCTCTCTCTCTCTGTGCTCTTCTGTACTCCGCTGACTGAACTCACATGGATACTGTTACCATGGAGACCCCCAGGCCCTCCTTAACTGAGGAACAGCATAGGGATCGAAAGAGAATGAGAGGGAGGGAGGAAGAGAGAGTGGGATGCTGTGATCAGTGTGACTCATATCAGTAATCTTTAACTGGCCTTCAGGCACAAATACTCAACCAGCACTGCATACAGCACATACAGTAGAGGTCTGTAGCCACATCCCATCTGCCCTCTGATGTATTTAGGCACCTCTGTGTTTTTTGATGACCTGTGTGCTCATCACCTGTTCCTACTCTCTCTCTCTTTGATCCGTTTCAGTTCTCTTCACATTTACAACTCTCTCGTCCCTCTCTCTCTCTGTGCTCTTCTGTACTCCGCTGACTGAACTCACATGGATACTGTTACCATGGAGACCCCCAGGCCCTCCTTAACTGAGGAACAGCATAGGGATCGAAAGAGAATGAGAGGGAGGGAGGAAGAGAGAGTGGGATGCTGTGATCAGTGTGACTCATATCAGTAATCTTTAACTGGCCTTCAGGCACAAATACTCAACCAGCACTGCATACAGCACATACAGTAGAGGTCTGTAGCCACATCCCATCTGAAGTAACCGTGATCACTCTGTCAGTTAGTCAGTTAGTTTACTTTTTCCATAGCATGAAGGATTTAGTGCTATGGGGTTTCTGAAAACTCACCAGTCATGTAGGTGATGCCAGCTCGTTCCACATGTTTAGATAGCACAGGTTAGACTCTGTGAAAATGACTGTAAGAGCATCTCTCTATGGAGTGTATTTTGAGGTTTAGATGAATAGAGAATTCCTCTCACTCACCCCACGCAACAATTTCCACATGACTCAGGTCCTAATGGATGTCTGCATGTGACTGTTGCGTTAGTAGCACTGAATCTTTTCTGGATAGTCCTGGAGGTTGTAGAGGTTTATTTTTGGCCGTAATAAACAAGCATTTGCCAAATTTGGGTGGGTATTATATTTGGGTAATAGCTTGCCACTACACTAGATACTGTTATATTTATAGTTTAATATCATTGTATCTTTTTTTGTTGGCAGTTTTACTATCTTTTCTAGCAAACCTTGATGGCAGCATTATTAGCCAAATTAAAAACCTTATTAAAAGTTGAATTCTGGTTTGAAGTATTCATATTTGTTGGTAGCTTTGCTGTATGAAATGATGCTAATATTTTAGTTGTTGTTCAATTGATGTGATGTTTAATGTTTTTTTCCCCTAGATTTATTTCTCACTGTGGTTGTTATAAAACAATTGTGTAAAATGTATTAAGTAACCAATTGCCAAGTTGTTTTCAAATATTTTCATACTGTTCACATCAGAATATTTACTAATAAAAATAGTGCAGATTTTCATGCCAGAGATAACATTTTCACATTACATGAAACAAAATGAAAAATTACATACTTTTTTATAATAGCGTTGACCCTACAAGGGATGGTTTAGATATAAATGAGGGGAGTTCAAGAAATAGTTTTTGCTGCTATTATACAACATTCAAAAGTTTGGGGTCAGTATGATTTTTTTTTAATGATTATGCTCACCAAGACTGCATTTATTCAATTAAAAATACAATAAAATTTGTAATATTATAAAATGTTATTACATTTTAAAATAACTACTTTCAGTTTTGCTGCATAATATTTATGTGGAAACCTTGATACATTTTTTTCAGGATTCAAGCTGAATAGGAATTTTAAAAGAGCAGCATTTGAAATAGAAATCTTTTGTTACAATGTAAATTTCTTTACTATCACTTTTGATCAATTTAATGCATCCTGAATAAATGTATATACAATTCTTACTGAACTCAGTCTTTTGAATGGTTGTGTATTTTCTAGTAATCACAAAGCATGCCTCAGTTAAGAGTTGTAGTTTTAACATTCTGCGTGTGACGAGATTCATGTGATGATAATGAGTTAAATATAACATGAAATGATTATGTGAAAGCATGCGAAAGCTGCCTAATCACAAGACATGATCATCTTGGCAGAAATTATGTCTGTTTTTTAGTCATGGTTGGAATGTTCATGATTTTTTGTTTTCTTTCCATGTTTGTATATTTCAGGAATATCTGAAATAATGAGTGAGTATTCGTGTGGTAGACAGCATCTCCACATCCCTTATCTCAAATCGGCTGTTCCCTTTTCCTCTCTTTATTTCAGGG